GATGCAGCCTAATTATTGATAATGGTTTTAGGGATGATGCTTAATTATGAATAATGGTTTAAAGGATGCGGCTTATTTATGGATAATGGTTTAAAGGATGCAGCTTATTTATGCATAATTGTTTAAAGGATGCGGCTTATTTATGATGTTTATTAATGGATAATGGTTTTAACGGTGATGTTAATTTATGGATAATGGTTTTAGGGGTGATCTTTATTTATGGATAATGGTTTTAGAAATGATGCTTATTTATGGATAATGGTTTTAGGGATGATGCTTATTTATGGATAATGGTTTAAAGTATGCGGCTTATTTATTGATAATGGTTTTAGGGATGATGTTTATTGATGGATAATGGTTTTAGGGGTGATGTTTATTTATGGATAATGGTTTTAGGGGTGATGTTTATTTATGAATAATGGATTTAGATATGATTTTTATTTATTGATAATGGTTTTAGGGATGATGCTTAATTATGAATAATGGTTTAAAGGATGCGGCTTATTTATGGATAATGGTTTAAAGGATGCAGCTTATTTATGCATAATTGTTTAAAGGATGCGGCTTATTTATGAATAATGGTTTAAAGGATGCGTCTTATTTATGGATAATGGTTTAAAGGATGCAGCTTACTTATGCATAATTGTTTTTGGGATGATGGTTATTTATGGATAATGGTTTTTGGGATGGTGGTTATTTATGGATAATGGTTTAAAGGATGCGGCTTATTTATTGATAATGGTTTTAGAGATGATGCTTATTTATGGATAAGGTTTTAGAGATGATGCTTATTTATGGATAAGGTTTTAGAGATGATGCTTATTTATGGATAATGTTTTAGAGATGATGCTTATTTATGGACACTGGTTTTTAGATATAATGGTTATTTATGGATAATGGTTTTGGGGATGATGGTTATTTATTGATAATGGTTTTAGGGATGATGCTTATTTATGAATAATGGTTTAAAGGATGCGGCTTATTTATGGAGAATGGTTTAAAGGATGCGGCTTATTTATGGATAATGGTTTTAGGGATGATGCTTATTTATGGATAATGGTTTTAGGGATGATGCTTTTTTATGGATAATGGTTTAAAGGATGAGGCTTATTTATGGATAATGGTTTAAAGGATGAGGCTTATTTATGGATAATGTTTTAAAGGATGAGGCTTATTTATGGATAATGGTTTAAAGGATGCGGCTTTTTTATGTTTGTTTAATGATGATGCTTATTGTTGGATAATGGTTTTAGGGGTAATGTTTATTTATGGATAATGGTTTTACATATGATGTTTATTTATGGATAATGGTTTTACATATGATGTTTATTTATGGATAATGGTTTAATGGATGAGGCTTATTTATGGATAAAGTTTTAAAGGATGAGGCTTATTTATGGATAATGGTTTAAAGGATACGGCTTATTTATGTTTGTTTAATGATGATGCTTATTGTTGGATAATGGTTTTAGGGGTGATGTTTATTTATGGATAATGGTTTTACATATGATGTTTATTTATGGATAATGGTTTAATGGATGCAGCTTATTGATGGATAATGGTTTTAGATATGATGTTTATCTATGGATAATGGTTTTAGGGATGATGCTTATTGATGGATGCGGCTTATTTATGGATAATGGTTTAAAGGGTGCAGCTTATTTATGGATGTTTTAGGGATGGTGCTTATTTACGGATAATGGTGTAAAGGATGCAGCTTATATATGGATGTTTTAGGGATGCGGCTTATTTATGGATAATGGTTTAAAGGGTGCAGCTTATTTATGGATGTTTTAGGGATGGTGCTTATTTACGGATAATGGTGTAAAGGATGCAGCTTATATATGGATGTTTTAGGGATGCGGCTTATTTATTGATAATGGTTTAAAGGATGGAGCTTATTTATGGATGTTTTAGGTATGATGCTTATTTATGGATAATGGTTTTAGGTATGATGCTTATTTATGGATAATGGTTTAAAGGATGCGGCTTATTTATGGTTAATGGTTTTAGGGATGATGCTTATTTATGGTTAATGGTTTTATTGATGATGCTTATTTATTGATAATTGTTTTAGGAATGATGCTTATTTATGGATAATGGTTTAAAGGGTGCGTCTCATTTATGTTTGTTTTAGGGATGATGCTTATTGATGGATAATGGTTTAAAGGATGCGGCTTATTTATGGATGTTTTAGGTATGATTCTTATTTATGGATAATGGTTTTAGGGATGATGTTTATTGATGGATAATGGTTTTAGGAATGATGCTTTTTGATGGATAATGGTTTTAGGTATGATGCTTATTTATGGATAATGGTTTTAGGGATGATGCTTATTGATTAATAATGGTTTAAAGGATGCGGCTTATTTATTGATAATGGTTTAAAGGATGCGGCTTATTTATGGATGTTTTATGTATGATGCTTATTTATGGAAAATGGTTATAGGGGTGATGCTTGCATGTAGGGTAATTTTTGAATCGGGATAATGTTTATTTATGGTTACCGTTCTGGAGAGAGTTAA